CCCCAGCCCGCCAGCCCATGGTTTACCCTTCATGATGTTTTTCTTTTGTTCTGACACGGCTTCCAGCTCCATGCGCAGGTCCTTCACGAGGTTCTGGTATTCCTCCACGTGCAGGCACTGGCTGTCTTTCTGCTCCTGCAAGTGCTTCAGGATCTGGGAAGGGGGAGAAAGAGCGGGGCAGGGTGAGCACATGGGGGAGAACGCTTTCTAAAATTCGGAATGTCCCGAACAGGCAAATCTGCAGCGTAGAAAGCCGAGTAGTGGTTGCCAGGGGTTGCGGGTGGGGTGGGTGATGGGGAGTCACTCCTCATGGATACGGGTTTCTTTCTGGAGTGATAAAAATGTTCTGGAATTAGTGGTGACGTTGCCCAACTCTGTGAATATACTAAAAGCCACTGGTTATATACTTTATTTTATAAAATATATCTTTATTGATTTCAGAGAGGGGAAGGGAGAGGGAGAGAGAGAGAGAAACACCAATGATGAGAGTCGTCATTGATCAGCTGTCTCCTGGACGCCCCTGACGTGTGCAGGGGATCAAGCCCGCAAACCAGACGTGTGCCCTGACCAGGAATCAAACTTCGATCTCCTGGATCCTAGGTCGATGCTCAACCACTGAGCCACACCTCGCTGGGCCTGATTATATACTTTAAGTGGTGAATTTTATGGTCTGTCAATTACATATCAATTTAAAAAACCAGAATTTTTAATAAAGGGAAATGGCAGACTTCTCACACTCACATTGAATGTGCACAAAAGAAGCCACTTCTCCCTCCCTACAACAATCAATGTCATTGATGGAGCAGCTACTATGTGCCAGGCACTGTCCTGGGTGTGGCAAACAACATACACACAAATCCTTGCCCCCATGGAGCTGGTTTTCTGGTTGGGGTGAGACAGACAAAGAATATAATACTTAGTGACTTATAGAAAATGTTAAAAATTGGTAAGTGCTATGGAAGAAACAACAACAAAAGGGGGATGGAGGTGATGGGGCAGGGTCAGGTATGTGGGGTTGCAATATTAAATAGTATGGGTTGGCTGGCCTCACTGAGAAGGTGGCCTCTGTGCAGGGACTTGCTGGAGGTGAGGGTGTGAGCCATGTTGTAGGTATCTAAGGGAAGAGCTTTGTAGCCAGTGACAAGACCCCGGAGAGGTCTATGGACTCTTACAGTGGAGTGAGTGATGGGGAAAGGAGGAGATGAGGTTAGGAAGTTGGGGGGCAGTCATATCATGTGGGGCTTGCAGTCCCTTGGCAAGAACTTTGGCTTCTATCCTGAAGGAGATGGAGGTGGCCTGTAACGAAGAGAAGGCAGGAACATGTGCACGTGGCTGAGGGGGAGCGATGAGATGTCTAGGCATCAAAGGGAGGCTGGGAAGAGATGGTTATGTGACTTCAGAGTTGACAGCGAGGGAGGCCTGCAGCATGAAGACAGGGGGCAGCTAGAGACACACAGGGTAGTCGCCATATGGCTCAGGTGGGTACCACAGAGACTCAAAGGCCCAGTCTAGCCAGGCCAGCAGAGCGGGGAGAGGAGTGCTGGCCCTAACTGAGACGTGGGTGGTTCCCTTCCTAAGAGAATGTTGGGGTAACACGAAGGCTTTGGGTAGTATACGGAGGGGGAGGGCATAGTCTGTGTCTTGGGAAAGTCCGTATCATGTTTTCAAGATGGGGTGTTAAAGAGGAATTAGTGTTTAGTGGAAACAGAGTTTCAGTTTTACAAGATGAAAAAGCTCTAGAGATCTGTTTTACACTAAAGTTGATGTACTTAACATGGAAGAACTTACACTTAAAAGTGGTTAAGATGGTCCATTCGATGTCATGTGTTTTTTTTACCACTATAAAAAATGAAAGACTAAGGGAGAAATAAAGACATTTTTCAGACAAAAATAAAAAAGGAGTGCGATGAGATCTTGCTGTAGGTCAGGATGTGAATAACATGGAACTGACCTTTAAAATAAATATTGACAGATGTCCGAGGAGAAAACTCCAAAGTTGAATATTGATCCCTGATTCATTCAAACTTTCTGGGATCAGAAAGTCCTGAAAAGAGGAGTCTTTGCTCCCCCACTGGAGGATCCCTTGGAGAGCTTGTATGTGTCATTTAGTCTCTCTGCCACCCCCCATTGCCCCTATTTGAGCATCAGCAGGCTGCCCTCATGTGGCTGGCTCTACCTCGGACCTCAAGTTCAGGCATGGCTCACCTAAGGAGGGGACCTGACCTAGTTTATTGTTGTTGCTGTTTTGTTTTGTTTTTTTAAATATATCTTTATTGATTTCAGAGAGAGGGAAGGAGAGGGAGAGAGAGAGACAGAAACATCAATGATGAGAAAGTCATTGATCGAGCCCACAACCCGGGCATGTGCCCTGACCGGGAATCGAACCCCGATGGCCTGGATCCCAGGTCGACGCTCAACTGCTGAGCCATGCCCGGCCGGGCCTGACCTAGTTTTGACTCTTGGTTGGTCAAATCTTGCTATTTGTTTACATGGTTTAAATGCTTGTTCATTATGAGAATCAACTTTTTAGATGCCTTTGAATTTTGAAAGTATCAGGTTTTCAAAAGGGAGTGAATTTGAATTAATAATCTTCCCTAAATTTGCTACTTTTCAACTCCAACCAGAAACTAGAAGGCTGGAATGGTCCTTCTGAACCTAGCAAGCCAACAGGAGTCTCTATCTTGTTTAGGTGCACTGCTGGAAATACATTAAGAGACAGGCGCAGTTCCAAAATTTGATTCCAAAATCGAATGCTGGCAGACACACTCGCTGGGGTGGCAGCATCCATGTGGCAGGGCCAACCAAGGTCACACAAATACAAAATAAAATACAAAATATAATATAAAAATTAAAAATAAGAAGGAAGACCCAAACTCAAACCCAAATTGGCACAACCCACCAGGCACAAATAAGTGAACGTTGTCCCACCTTTTTGATGTCCTCACAATCTTCTGAGGAGCTAGGAGGGTGTCGGTGGGTGGCTGTATAAGAAGCAAAGTCGGCTTGTAATTTTATCAAAGCCTCTTCACGCTCTAGAACCTGCAAATGAGCACAGGCGAGTCAGGCTGCATGATCAATGCTCCGTGTTTACTGCTAGTACTATGTCAGCAGGGTGTTCCTTTGATCAGCCTAAGTTTGTTGTAACATTACATAATTCATCACACACTTCCTGTGGGGTTGGTGTGGGGAAGGAATCATGTCCTCAGTCTTACATCAAGGCTCACTAAGGCATAGACAGTGTTTTGTCTTGAGTTTGTCAGTGGACACATTTTGGACTCCCTCCTGAACCTCTGTGCGCTCCAGTTTGCTAGGCAGATGAAGAAGGTTCTTTGGAGGCTGTGAAATTAGGAAAGATGCACTTAATCTATCAGGAGATGGGGCTCAAAGTTCAAGAATTAAAGAAGGAAGTTTTATATAGAATGGGTAAATGTGTACGTACTTTTTTTTTAAAAATAAAAAAACTCCATGAAATTTTTGTTCTTGCTTGTTTTGAATAATTAAATAAAACCTAAGCATTGATAATAAGTGAAAAATTCGACTCCATTCATTCTTCCCCCTTTCATTTCCCCTGAGGAGGAAGGGACATTATTGGCAATTTCCAATATATACTTCTACATCATGATCAAAGTCACTAAAAAACAAAAGTGGAACTAAACATAAGATTCTGCAACTTGTCCTCAACAGTGTATCACAAGCATCCTTCCATGTAGCCCCTACAGATCTGCTTAATCCATTTTCTTGGCTGCTTATTATTCCCTAATACGGAAAACTCTTCAACCACTTCCCTAGTGATGGGCAAGTAGGTTGTTGTGTGAAAGCCTTTACGTCTCTATACGATCTTAAACTCAGTGTGGGTTGGGAGAATGCATACCGTGGAGGACATGAATAAAAGGCAGAAGCAAATTTATTTAAGCCATTTGAGGAGTCTTGGTGAAAGAGATTACTTTAGGTGACTCTGTTTCCCTCCTTTCTTCTCTCCTGGCTTTTTTTTGGGAGTCTCAGACAAGTGTTCTAGAAGGCACTTACCAAAGCATTACTGCAGGCTAGCTTATTTCGAAGCTCCTGGATTAGTTCATCCTGTTCGGAGACCTTCTGCCAGACTTCCGACAGTCGTTTCAGGGTCTCCTGATGCTCTTGAATCATGCAGGGGGAGGTGTATATACGCACCTTTGAATGATCACCCTTGTTCTCGGGTTCCTGGGATATTTAAAAATAATGGGTGGTTTTGTTCGTAATTTTTGAGTTAAGAATGCTGTGAGCATGAGAAAAATCTCTAGATTTACATTCTAAAAGTTTGTGTTCAAATATGTGAATCATAACTTTCGTAACAAAAGAAAAAATTAACAAGTGTATACACATGGTATAAAGTTCAAACAGTTCACGAGAGAATAAACTGAAAATTCAGTCTTCCTCCATCTTGGCCCTTTATGACTCACGTCCCCTCCTCCATCACAGTCCTTGTTACCAGTTTTTTGGTATCTTTTCAGAAATATTTTATAAATATATGTATATAACCTAACTTTTTTGCCTACACAAATTAGTCTTCTACGCACTATTGTAAATTGTATTTTCACTTGACAATTTATTTAGGATATTTCTCATTTTGTTATTTGTAGATATACTTTGAAAATTAATTTCAAATTGCACAAGTAATACATGTATATACCACCTTTCTAGAACAGTGTAACATTACAATTTCTCTTTGACCACCTTCTCTAATCCTATACTCACTGCATTCTCCAGAGATGACCATTTATGCATGCATAACCTTCTAGAACTTTATCTATACATTCACACACATATAAATGAACCTGTAGAATGCAGATATTAGGTTGCCTTTTTAAAACATAAAAACAGATTTTTTTCACTTAACAAGATGCCTTAGAAATCCACAACCATTAGAATTAAAGGAAATAAAAACTGTAATGAGAAACCTGTTTTTTTAAAAATCCATCAGTTTAGCACAATTTAAGAAGATTGAAAAATATACAGAGTATGGGGAGATAAACTCTCTCAATTATTATTGGTAAAACTTGCAGAATCTTTTTGGTTTGCAATTTATAAGTATCTTTAAACGTTAAAATTAACCATATCCTTTGGTCCAGCAATCCAGCTTCAGGAAACTACCCCACAGAAATGAGGGTGTTCCTTTCAGCTTATTTGTAATAGAAAAACAGGTCAGTAGATGGTATAGTCACATTACAGAATACAACGTAGTAACTTAAAAGAAATTAAGATACATTTAAAAAGCAAGTTGTAGAATCACATTTATAAAATGACCCATTTATGTAAAAAGAAAATCCTAACTATTTATATATGTAACTGTACAGCAAAAGGCTGGGGAAGATTCCCAACACATTATTCTAGGGATTGCCTAGGGGGAGAGTGAAGGAGGCTGACGGTGAACTTTCACATTTAATCTCCATACTTCTGTCTAGAGAGCCTGTATCTTTGTATTACTTGTGTAATTAAAAAAAGTAACTGAAAAACGAACACAAACTCAGGCATTCTGGCTCTTCTTTCCCACGTTTCACAGCTTTCTCCTCCTGTTTGACCCTGAAGTTATGATTTGCATGAGCTCTATGGTCTGGAAGGGCCCTGCACCAGACCCCCATGAGAACACGGCAGATCTGAGAACTCATTTGGTGGTTCCCTTTCTGCCTTATTTAAAGTGCTGGCTTCTTCTTTTTTCTTTTTAATCCTCACCTGAGGATATTTTTTCCCATTGCTTCTCAGAGAGAGTGGAAGGGAGAGAGAGAGAAAAACACCGATGTGAGAGACACACACCGATTGGCTGCCACCTGCATGCGCCTGACCGGGGCCCGGATCTAGCCTGCAACTGAGGTACATGTGAGCTCCTGAGCAGGATGGAACACGAGACCCTTCAGTCTTTGGGCTGACACTCTAACCACTGAGCCAAACCAGCTAGGGCTGAAGTGGTGGCTTTTTATATTGCTTAAGGGCCTCAAAATCCTAAGGAGCAATCTTAAAGGGGATGTGAGGGCTGGAGGCTCAAAGCTGAGGGCTACACATTGAAGGGAAGGAATGCCATCTGGTTGAAGGTCTGGGCTTCTGGAGGAGGCTGGGACTGTTGCAGGGGGCCACCTGGGAGCTTGCCCACTTGCTGGAGCTCCTGGTTTGAGAGGCCTAGCTTAAGTCCTACCTGACTGACAATCCCGCTGAGCTCCCCCTCCAACATCTTGACTTGACACTCCAGTAATTCAATGTTGCTTAGGGAAGCCTGGTATTTATCCCTGTAGAGGTTTAAGCTTCTTTCTAGGGAGACGATCTTGTCCCCGGCCAAGGCGAGTTTCTCGTGTGCCAAGTGGAGCTTCTCTCCTGTGTTCCCATTGTGATTTCCAATTTCTTCCTCATAGAGAATCACCTGTTGGTGTAGGAACAAAACCACACTGAACCCATAGAAGCATCTAATGAGGAAAGAATATGCCTGTAAGACAATGCAGAGGAGTCTTATATCTTAAGAAACAAATACAGAGAATAAGCCCAGCACAGATCTAAAAGCTATAATATATAACATCAGAATGTTAAAGATTAGAAACAAAAAGTTTGTCCTATTTAGATTGTAAGCTTCTTCTTTGTTTTCATTCTTTTAAAATATATTTTTATTGATTTCAGAGAGAGGAAGGGAGAGGGATAGATAGAAACATCAATGATGAGAGAGAGAGTCATTCATCACTGCCTCCTGTATGTCCCCTGACCGGGAATTGAACCGTGATCTCCTGGGTCATAGGTAGATGCTCAACCACTGGGCTAGATTGTAAGCTTCTTAAAGACAGGGACCATATTTATTTTCCATTCTGCTTGGCATATAGTAAGAATTACATAAAGACTTTTTAGTTGATTAATAGGAATCAATTTGTATAGCGCCATTTAAAAAAATTTTTTTTTTTTTTAAGGACTCGAAATGCCAGTATTCTCTCTTTCCTAGATATTCTCTAGGGGTCTAATTAGAAAATGTAGAGCACCTTGGGCACACAGGTCCATGTCAGCAAAGTTCCCCAAAGGCAGTGGGGAACATGACCCGAAGTTCCTCTGGGATTTGTATAATCCTTATTTAGATTTCTTTTCTTCCCAATCAATTAATTAGCCGACCAACTGACACATTTATTGAATGCTCATGAGCAATGTCTTGGGTGCTGAGGGACACATACCTATACGATGCAGCTCCTCACTCAGAGTTTATAAACTCTGACAATTTTGGGAAGATATGGTTTAAAACAAGCAAACAACTGTACATAGTGGAGAGTGCTAAATTGTATGGCTTGAATAGAAATGAGTCTCCAGAATATAGTTAAGCTAAGTCTAGATGATCTCAAACTCCAGTCTGAAAAAAATGAATGACTTGGTATTCTCAACGACTGATTCAGGCTCAATGTCTGGTTATCTTATCAGCTATGCCAGAGCCAGGAATTTATATATTATCAAAACCTGATTTTTCTAAAAAAAAAAGTTCATTTAATGGACCTTAGGCCTTTTATTTTTTATTTTTTATAGCCCTCAGAGACCTAGAGTCTCTTGCATTTACATTGCAATGGTAATAAAATGGAAATGATGGGCCTTCACACACATCATACACACACATGTGCACACACACAGACTCAGACCACATACCCCACAGGCATTAATACTGGAGCTCTCACCCAGTGATGCCATTCTGTTTAGCTCCCTCTGCTCAGCCTCAAAAAGATCAAGAATTAAAGAGGGGAAGTTGATAAGACCTGCTCAAGATGCTGCGAAGCTCTCCTCTGTAAGTCCAGTGTTTGCTTTCTAGTAGGCTTGGCCTGATTTCTGTGGGTGCACGGACACATGAGACATTCCCATAGTAAGTCTATCTATACCTCGTCTTCTTTCAGTTTGCAGTGGTGGTGAAGAACAACCAGGTCTGAAGTCTGCTTCTCCAGGATGGACTGATACTGCAGGAGGGAACAGTAAGAGGTCTGCAGCTCCTCCGTGCGAAACTCCAGCTCCTGTTGAAGGGTCAGCAATTTCTTCTTGAGTTGCTGGAGTTGTCTCAGATGACACTGCTTACTGGACCCAAACTCCATCTGTGATTCGAATGCTAATGCTTCCTTTTTATTCTGCAATTGAGATCAGATATACAGAGAAGGCTTTGGAGAGTTGCTAAGCTTGCATCCACTCTTTGATTTTTTAAATTTGTTCAACCGTTCACATCCATCTACCCGCCCTTTTATCTTTTCATCTACAGAGCACTTATTAAATGTTTCGCTCTAATTCACAATGAAACATCACTTTGTATTACCACTCGTAAGTAGGATTTAAAAGAAGAAAAAAAAAACCACCATAGTTCTTTCTTACTATTTAGATCTACTATTCCTCTTATTTAGGTCAGAAAAAAAAATACACAGAAAGGACCTGGAGAGTAGTACAAAAGATATATGTGATAATATGCTTATGTTTTGTCTTCACATACAGAGATAACACAATTGACCTAGAAGGTAATGGATTTCTGGTCACAGTTCTTGGACTAATTCCGATTATTAAAAAATGCCCAGATGAAAGAGTGAAGTCTTGGGTAGGCGTTTGGGGAAACGGGTTTCTGGATGGTGGGAAATGGGAGGCAGAGGTATTGTTCAGGCATGTCTGGGCACCGGCTGTCTCCTCTTCCTGATGGAAGATGTCACCTTGCGGATGTGTTTTGTGTGTGTGTGTGTGTGTGTGTGTGTGTGTGTGTGTGAGAGAGAGAGAGAGAGAGAGAGAGAGAGAGATATCTCCCTGCCAATCCACAATTTGCCTGAAATGCTGCTAGGCCCATCCTGCACTTTCATTCCTCATTCAATAGACATATGTTGAACACCCACTTTGCCTCAAGTATTTTGCTGGTAGGACACACCCCTGAGTTGTTTATCTAGTACAGTTGAGGCCTTTGCACTGCTGTGTCTACTTTTTCTTGCCCAACATGCCTGATTACATGTGAAAGAGGTGGGTAAAGAGGGTGGCCTGTGGGTATCCCTTAGCTCCCGTCTCTTAGTACCCTCCAATTCATTCTTTAAAACCCTGTCCAAATGTTTCTCTCTTTCCCATTTTCCCTGCAAAGATGTCTTTGCATCAATACCACAGACTTTACTGGCATGTCCTTTACACGTTCCACCTTGCACTGTATGATCTCTGTGCATCTCATACTGTAAGTAGATTATAAACTCCTGGAAGGCAAGGGCCATGTCCGCTCCTGGAGGACCTAGACTAGAGATCCATACACACCTAGGTATTGAGAGAGAAGGAAATAAAATAGAGAGTGCACACTCTCCTCGCTGCCCAAGAATTTGAACTTGCGGCCTTGGCTTCACTAACAGAGTAGTTTCAGACATTTAAAAAATGAACTGCTTTTCTTAACGGTTTTATTGAAGTATCCTTTAGATATCATAAAATCCTACCATTGTAAGTGTACAGTTTAATGATTTGTAGCAATAGGGAGCTGTGTGATCATTATCACAATCCAGTTTCAGAACATTTCCATCACCTCAAAACATCCCCTCCTGCCCATTTGTCACTTCCGCTCCTATCCTCAGCTCCAGGCAACCACTAATCTGCTTTCTGCCTGTACAGATTTACCCTTTCCAGACATTTCATATAAACGGAATTATATAAAATGTCATCTTTGTGTCTGGGTTCTTTCATTTAGCAGAATGTTTTTGAGGTTCATCCAGGCTCTAGCAAGAATCAGTATTCTGTTCTTTTTTATTGCTAAATAGTATGAATATAACATATTTTGTTCATCTCTTCACCAGTTAATGAATACTTGGATTGTTTTGGTTTTTAGCTATTATAAATAATGCTGCTATGAATATTAACATAGTAGCTGTTGTGTTGATATTTTCACTTAATGAATTGTTCAGCAAATAGGATGGTGCACCTACCATGTGCTGAGCACTGTGCTAGGTAATGGGGATACAGAAGTTTATAAAACACAGAATCTCTGCCTTCATGTAGTTTGCATCTAATAGAGAGGGTGGGGAGAAGGGGAGAGAGAGAGAAAGAGAATCAAATAAATCATGTAGTGTATTAAAAGGAAAAAGAGTGTTATGGAGGAGAGTAAAGCAGGAGAGGGAGATGAGGAATGCCAGGATGGAGGCAGTTGTAATTCTGAATTAAATGTTTTCATGGAGGACCACATTGAGAAGGTGACATTTGAGCCAAGACTTGAAGGAGACAGGGGAGGAGCCTGGTGGGAATCTACAGCAGGGGCACTTCAGGGGGAAATAATAGCACATGGTAAGGCCTAGAGGTGAGAGGAGCCCAGTGGTGTTTGAGGAGTCACTTTGTTCTGGCTGGAGCAGAGAGAGTAAAGGGGAAAGTGGTACCAGGGGAGGTGAAAGGAAAGGAAGGTAATGTTGCCTGACCGGTTCAGCTCAGTGGTTAGAGCGTTGGCCCACAGACCGAAGCGTCCTGGGTTTGATTCTGGCCAAGGGCACGTACCTCGGTTGCAGGCTTGATCCCTGGCCCTGGTCGATGTCTCTCTCTCTCATTCAAGACAGTATGACTCTGAGGTTTTGACTCTCTCTCTCTCTCTCTCCCCCTTCCACTCTCTTAAAAAGCAATGGAAAAAATATCCTCGGATAAGAATTAAAAAAAAGAAAGAAAAGAAAGAAAAGAAAGGTAGGTGATGTTCTTTAGGGTCACACACAACATTCTAAAGACTTAAACTTTTCCTTTCGGGGGATGAAAGACCATTAGAGAGTATTGAGCAGAGGGGAATGATGTGATCTCCTTTAGATGTTACAAGGGTATGCTATTGAAAATCAACTACAGGGAGGCAGAAGCAGGGAGACTAGTTAGGGGGCTACAGCAAGAATGTGGGTGAGAAAGGATGATGGCTTGGACCAAGGTGGTCACAGTAGAAGGTGGGAGAAATGGTTGGATTCTAGATTATTTTGGAAGTAGGGCCCACAGGATTTGCTGTTGTGTTAGTTGTGGGATGGTGGGAGATCATGGTCATTCAAGGCAGGGTGACTCTGAGGTTTTGGTCTGAGTAACTAGAGAGATAGAGTTTTAATGAGGTTAATTAAGTAAGAGCTGGGACCCCAGAGAAAATCCTCTCTAGTGAGAGTGGATGGGGCAGCACAGATAAGGGAGGCTTAGTCCAATTCAGAACCAGAAAGTCTACAGCTGGTTGTGTCAGTTCAATCTGATTTACTCTTTCTGGCTCTCCTAAAAGATTATTTAATCCTTAATGCCTCAGAATAGAGAAGACAGAGAAAACTAACCACAATGGTCACCAGGCAAAAGAAATCCTAGGCAAAGACAAGTTGAACGCCTGGCCTGAATATCCAGTATACTGGGGGAAAGTTGATGAGACTTCTTTCCTGAGCCAAACAGGAAAGAAGTATTTACTTTGTGTAGCTATAATTTCCAGAATTTATATTAAATGTTTCCAGTTAAGTGCTTTCATTCTTTTCAAGATAAGAATGTTGTTATTCTCAGATCTTGTCTGTAAATGAGGTTCAGAGAGAAGGGACTTGAGAATAATGTGTGTTTGTGTGTGTGTGTGCGCACACACATGTGCACTTGTATCCAGGCACATGTATGGGGATGTTCTCAAGAGCCCAAGTCCTCAGTCTATCCAGTTGAGCTGGGGGTGAAGAGCTACTTGGAAAAAGACATGGTAAGTATTTAATGTAGATAGAACTAAAACAAAGGAGTGGACATTCAGGGGACAGGCATACATAAGAAGGGCTTATTTTAGTGAAGCAAATACCCAATAAAATCCTTATCAAAATTTGCCACAATTCTGTTTATCTTGGCTTTGTGGTAACATGATGGACCAGTCAGATGATAAGAGTTCACTCAAATCTTTCAATACAGGGCAAACATAACACCTGCCTTAATTCGTCTGGTTATAAAGATCCGAAAATGGCTCATATGTGCAGAGAAACAAGAGTTTTCTTGGATGAGAATTTTAAACATTTGCACACTATAGATACCTATGTGTTTAGAGGAACCAGATTTCAAAGGCTTGGAGAAATGCCTAGACTTATTTGAGACCTATTAAATTTCTACTTATTTATCCTTAAGTATTCAAAAGATTATTTTTCTTAATTCTAAATGAATAGAAAATGACATGCTATGGATTAAGTCTACATTTCTCTTATATGTGCCAAAGAGCAGTATTATAAAGGCATTAATGCATTTCCCATTGCTTTTTTGTCTTCCTTTTAAAAAGTTTTCTTTCTAATGAAGACAGCTATTTTATTAGATTCTTCTTTGACCTTTAAACTGAGAAAATGAGCAACTTGGAAATGATTTTATGGAAGTAAGATTAGTTCTTAGAATGACTATTGAGAGTTGGACCTGATTCTGGAGGCCATCTGGTCCACCATGTTTCTCAGACAGATTGCTATCCAGGCCTCAACTGTTTTAAAAGATGAAGAGCACTGGCCACGTGTAGGAATCTGTTCCCATATTTAGTCAACCTTTTATCTCTACTTATGGTCAAAGAGATTATAGCTATTGCTCCCTCCTTGCCTATGTGGCCACCTGATCACAGAAGGAAATTAACTGAGAAGTCACATTGGTTTCCACCCAATACTCTGTGCTTTTCAAGTTGATGCTAATTGACTGATGTTAAGTTCTGTATTTTCCCTGATATTGAAGTTAAGCTGACAGGTCTATAATTACCAAGATTGTCCCTTTTCCCTTTTAAAAAGGATGAGCACTTCATTTACCCCTTTCAGCCTACAGGGACTTACTTTATTCTCTTGAGCTCTCAAGTTCTCAAGAATAATCGCTAGCAGCCATGTAATAACCTGCCAATTCCTTACATACTCTTCCAAGTCTGTCATAAGGCCCTGCTGATTTGCCTAAAGTTGACTTTTCAAAACACTCTGTAACCATTTTATTTCCTATTCTATTTTTCACCGACTCTCTTCTGTCTCAGGTTGGCATGGCTCTGGTAATCAGATCCCTGCTGATACTTTCTTTTCATTTAAGACCTGAAAGTCTCATATTGTTCCAGTCATTGTCATGAATGTCTTTGCCTCTTTTTTGCGGTATTGGGATATTTCTCTTGTAACCCTGGTTTAGCCTTAGATCACTAGATAGGTTTATCTCTTACATTTTGTATCTTCTACAAATTGCATTTCTTATACTTTTTCTTTTTTATTTATTGAATTGAGAGAGAGAGGGAGGGGCGAGGGAGGGAGAGGGAGAGATCTGTTTTTCTACTGATGTATGCATTCACAGGTTGATTCTTGTATGAGCCCTGACCGGGGATCAAACCCACAACCTTGGAGTATCGAGATGATATTCTAACCAACTGAGCTACCCAGCCAGGGTCCTATACTTTCTAGAATGCAGAGCTGTGTTTGTTTACATGCATTTCTTTTGGATGCATCTTTGTGGTTTAGACCCTCTCATCTGATAATCTCTGCTTATCAGAGATTTCACTTAAAAACACACACAACTATTTTGAGATAATTTTAGGTTTCTAGAAAATTGCAAAAGTAATAAAGGCAGTGCTCATATACTCTTCATCCAGCTTACCTTAATGTTAACATTTACATAACAATAGTACATTTGTCCAAACGAAGAAATTAACATTGTAGATTACTATTATCTAAATGAAGACTGTTTGGATTTCAACAATTTTTCAACTGTGTTTCTTTTTCTGTTCCAGGATCCAATCCCAGATCCCACATTGCATTAAGTATATTTACTTAAATTTTTATTTTCATTCCCAACGATTCAAAGTGATATCTCTGTGTGGTAATTTTCATTGAGAGTCTATTAATCTTTGCATATTCAACTAATTACTTTAAAAAAAAAATCCTCACCCAAGGAGTGAGGATATTTTTTTCCCATTGATTTTTTTTTAGAGACAGTGGAAAGAAGGGGGGAGGGGAAGAGAGAGAGGAGAGAGAAAAATATCACTGTGAGAGAGACATATCGACTAGTTGCCTCCCCACGAGCCCAGACCAGGGGTGGGGATCTAACCTGTAACCCAGGCATGTGCCCTTGCCTTGGAATCAAACCAGAGACCCGGGGGTGCTCAGGCCAATGCTGAGCTAACCACTGAACAACACTGGTCAGGGATAAATACTTTTATCTGCAGAAATCAAATTTCTTACAGAGTTTTATGCTAAAATAATGTCTTCCATACTCTTCAAACATAAGTTTGACAACCTGAGCCCTACTGAATATCAAGGTATTCTCCCCACCAGGGCCAAAGAAGTCTGGGAAATTGTTCAAAGAGACCCTTCCTTTCCTGGTTTGATCGCCCCAATATGTTTATCTTTTCTCCTTTTGCTTTAATTGAGGCACCCTTTAATTCCCGGGCAGGGTAGGAACTAGAGGGAAACAACTGACATGCAAGTATCAAGGAGGCTCTCACTCTTGGAGCGGAGTAAGCGAGGGGCTGGCACCTGAAGAGTGAGTAGCCCTTAAATTTTGCACCCTCGGCACCTCACTTGCTTTCCCTTAGTCCCTGCTCTGTCCTGGGTTTTAGAACTGTGTTTGTTTACATGCATTCTTCACAATGTATTCTTCATTTACAAGGTCACGCCATTTTCTTTCCTCATCACCCACTCACTGCCTGCCAGTCCTTTAGTTACACATGGCATCTGATGTTGTATTTAAATTTTCTCGATAACTCAACTATGACCTCTTGCTTATTTCCCCGGCTCCTTGTTAGATATCAGTCAACATTTCAGAAAGTCAACATTTCAGAAAGTCTTTGGTTTCCCCTTTGTTCCCAAATTACATTTCCTCAGGAAGGCAGATCTTGCAGGGATTTTCTGAGGGTGTGAGTGTAAGTCCACATCTAATTGTGTATTTGTATGTGTAGCCTGCAATTTAAATTCTGCACTAAGTGCCAGCAAAAAGAAAAAGAAAAAAAAAAAAAAAAAAAAAAGAGCCTGTTTTAAAGCTTGTTTCAAGCTGTTAGAGCTTCTGGGCAATTAGAATACTAAAATGTGACTTAATATCTTTCTCCTTCCAAGTTGCCAGGTATTTATAAGCTACATGGATTTCCCTGACTTGGGGAATAAATAAACTTGTGACAGCAATGGTGAAAATATTCTAAAACATTAATATTTAGAAAGGAGTAAATTATGATAATATTCTTCCTGAGATTCATTTAGGAAAACCAATGGATTTTTCTGTTTGTGACTTACTGGGGAAAGGGCAGCAATGCTCAGTGAGATAAGGTAGAATTGCTTTGCTGGTAGCATTTTTAGGGCATTACAAAGGAACAATTTGTGGTTTTTATAGGGAGGTAGTAAGTCCTGGGAGAACGCTACAGACACAATTAAGAGAGACCAGATCCTTGACCACAAATGTTGAAGAAGATGGTGGTTGCTTACACAGCAGCTAAGATGCTAACCTGGGGGTCTAGCAATAGGTCTGTGCAACCAGTACCTGCTTTATGGTTGCTAAGAACTCACCCTAAAAGGAAATGAAGACTGCAAAGTAAGGAATTCTTGGAAACTCAAAGTGTTTAGAGAACTTTGGGAAAATACATTCCAGCTGGCCCCCTAGCCTGTGGAGATGAATTTAGATACTGGTTTAAGGACTTAGTGCTAGAGTTTCCAAAGAGAGAAAACCTCAGGCTGAAATGAGGTCAGCTCAGCTGAGGAACTGCTTAGGCGATAGATAAGCATTAACTCAAAATCTAATCTTAAGAAAGATGACCATGCCAGGGAGTGAGAGAGAGAGAGAAACATCAATGGATTGCCTCCCGTATGTGCCCTGGCCGGGAATCAAACAGGCAACCTTTCGGTGCATGGGAAGAGGCTCCACCAACCGAGCCACACCAGCCAGGGCAAAAAAGACTGAAATTTTAACCATTTGTGACAGCATGGATGGATCTAGGGCGTATTATGGTAAGTGAAAGAAGTCAGTCTGAGAAAGGCAAATACCATACGATTCCACTTATATGTAGAATCTAAAGAACAATATAAATGAACAAACAAAACAGAAACAGACTCATAAATACAGAGAACAGACTGATGGCTGCCAGAGGGGAGGGGAGTTGGGGGGCTGGGTGAAAAAGGTGAAGGAATTGAGAAGTACAGATTGGTAGTTACAAAATAGTCACGGGGATGTAAAGTATAGCATAGGGGCTATAGTCAATAATATTGTATTAATTATTTATGGTGCCAGTTGGGTACTGGAAATTGGGGGGATCATTTTGTAAAGTATATGATTTGTCTAACCACTATGCTGTACACCTGAAAATAATACAAAATAATATTAAATGTAAAAAAAACCAAACAAACTATTTCTTTGCCCCCTCCCCCCCAAAAGAGAGCACCTGTTGCACGAATGAGCAGTGACATCTCTGAGCAGGTGGAAGGGTTGTTATATTTTGGTTAACTCAGAAGTATGTCTAAGTCCATAAGGAGATGCTGCTGTCCTCACGTAACTATAATTTGGTCTTTCAGGGCAATGGCCACAGGTGCGGCAAGCCCAGGTGTGAAAGGCCAGATAAGGAAAAGACAGAGCCTTCCACTTATGGATCTGTTTAATTCTTTCTCCCTGCTTGCTCAATAAACGCTCCTGTGGAAGAACTGTCTGTTATCGTCCCTGTCCAAGAGAGCAGAGTGGAAGTGGAGAGCGCAGGCTGGGCAGCAGCTGCCGAAACCCTTACGTGGATGCTGTTCATCATCGCCTCCTCCGCACAGAGCTGATTCTCCTGCCAAGTCGTCCCCTGCCTCTTGCAAACATCATGTAGATTCTTGATGTCAACTTGCAGGCTCAAGAGCTTGCTGCTCAGGCTGCTCACTTCTCTGTCTCTTTTCTCCACCTAGGCCGTCAGAAAAATGGAAGCATCAATTATAAACCATCGAGCAAACACTTACTTTCGTTCACTTAACTGGTTGACAGAGACTTTACATTTGCTGGGAATTTGTTCGTCCACCCTTTGCTGTTATTACTCATTCCGCGTAACATTTACACACTCTCTGTTTTCAAGATGTCTGAGTGCCCTGCATTAATGCAGACAGTTACTTATTTAATTAACCTTCACCCACAGCTCTAGGTGCATCGCAGACACTTCCCCTTTTTCAAGAGGAATTTAGTGCCTAGAATAATTCCAGGCGCCTCATGGACTATCTATAAATATTAATGGTTCTGCCAATGATGAAGTGAACATACTGAGATGTCAAATGAACCTGTCAAGGCTAGTGAACCAGTGATGGAGCTGGTGTGGATTCTGAAGTCTCTTAACTATCTCTTCTACCCACGAAACCAAAAGACCTCCCTCACCTGTAAACCTAATGCTTTTCCTTTGGAGACATACACCAATGGGAATAAAAGTGAAATCCCTGGGCTGATTATATAGGATCAATGCCTCTGAATATGAATGAAAAAGATTAGTTAATTATTGCTGGGGCAGAATGGAAATTAGTGATTGAGATCACCAACAGCGAGTGTGAAGCACAGTAATTTCACTGGGGTTGGGGGTGTGGAGCTGTGGTAACAGGGTGGGGGCTCCGTTACACTAGGGTGCCACCTTCTACCCCCAGTGTTGTGGGTGGCTGGCATCGGTGTGGAAAGAAGTTAGGAAGTAGCCCCCTGTGAACCTGTCCAGGGCTTTAGTCCTAACACTGCATACGGTCCGTGACGCTCATGCGGACGGGCACTGCCTACCACCTGTTTCAGATGTTGGGACTGAGGCTGGTGCTTTTATGGTAGGTACACGTCTTAGGTTACTCAGAGCAGGCCCTTAGGCGAGGATTCATGGCACTTATTGAGGAAACACTCCCAGGCACAATCAGCAAGGAAGTGGGGGGGGGAGCAGAGCAGGGAAGGCAAAGAAACCAAGCAAGGGCAGGATTTCAAACAAGTCCCAAGGGCGGGAGCTTTAGCCTGATCCCACAGGGAACTCTGGCCTGTAAGTTACACCCCAGAATCTGTCCTGATTAGATGCACTGAAAGCTGGGCTGTTAGACTCAGCACCAGCCAGTCAATGGCTAAGGGCAGCCCGGTGGGGGGGTAAACTCCCAAGGACTTCCAGCTCTTTGCTCTTGTGAGCAAAGTGACCCCAGTAGCCTAAGGGCAATTTTTCTAAGAGAGTTGCATGTGCACAAGCACCCAGAAGCCATGGTGCAATGAAATGGAAAGTGATCCAAGCAACAAGGTCCCAGGGTTGGTTAGCAGCAAAATATGAGAGTTCTGCTCTCCCAACTCTGTAGCTAGTGCTCTGTTACCATATCCCAGAGGTTGCTCTGGCTTCCTAAATATATGAGCTATAGGACACACCTTCCCAGGGGAGCTGGCCACCTGATATGGACACTGTAAATCAAGCCTTACCCCATGGTAAGAGACCTCTGCACAAGGCTGAGGGGGACCAGAGAAAACCATGGGAATCGGACTCTACAATGTCAGACGATTCGGAATTCAGAAGGTTTCCCAGAAGTGCTGCTGTCTTAGCTGATTTATTTCTTCATTTCCTTTTAGTACCTGGACTCTTTTTTTTTTTTTACCACTTTACAGTTTAATTAGGTTAACGGCATGGCTCTGTCATTAAAAGGATTTCATTATCTCAAAACTCTCCCTCTTCCTCCTGTCCCTTGTTCCTCATTTCCAGAAAAACAACAGTGGATGTCAAATTGCCCCAGGCATGTAATTACCATTAAGACAATTACCAGGGACTCTCTTAAGAAAATGTGTGTAGAGCAGCTAAAAAAAAAAAAAAAAAAAAAAAAAAAAGTACAAAACCTTTGACCCCACAAGGAGCAGCGGTTTGATTCCAGTGCTTAAAATCCCTTGTGTCATAGCTGCCACTGAGGGACTAGGATACAGAGGCTCATTGGGAGACCCTGGGGATCCCCTCCCCTCCTGTCCCAGGACTATGTTTCTTTGGCATCTATGAAGAGGTTAGGGGACAATGCAATGCCTGTTCTACGGAAGTACCACATGCCCTGTATTCTTGCCTTGATGTTGAATATATGCGTCTTCAGGCGAGGACCTTGTCACCAGATGGTTCCATATGGAGCCTGGCACACTCTGGACTCATCAACAAAGTACAAACACTATACAACCTGACTCTCTACAAGTTAGAAGTTAAATGCCTTCTCTCTTTCAGGACAATAAAAAATCCCCTGTTTCTCCAGTCTTGGATGTCCTCTGAGCCAAAGGCCGGCTTGCCCAATTCTGTTGCAGGACCAGGACTTCAGAATTAGATCTTCAATGTACATGATCTCATCTAATGTGGACATTAGCATTGACTCAGAGTCTCTGAGGCAATTTCTTCGTTCATCACACAAGTGTTTTGGAATAAATAATCTTTCTTTGAGGATTCCCTAAACCAGTTGAATAACAAATGTGTTTTGCAGGATGTCAAATGAAATTTACTTTTGAAATCAAAATCTAACCATTTACTTCCTAAAGGCCAAATTGTACAGGGGTTTTTAATTCATCAGAGCAGGAGGAGTGGAAGTGCTGGGAGAGCAATAAAGTGATTTCCTTGAATCACGTATTATTTTTCACTGTAGGGAATTGTAAGAAGAGACTGTGTTCACCTCAGAGCTCCCGAAAGGCAAGTGTTGTTGAGGTTCCAGTAAACCTAATTTCTTGCTAATATCGTGCACAGAGGCCACTGAGCACTATTTTCTAATCCTATCTACGTTATGAAGGCTAAATTCCAGGCAGATGCCTTTTGAATATCAGTATGTAGTAAGAATTGATTTAATCTGACATTTCATCAATCAAAGCTCTGTAACCAATACTAGGGCATGAGATGAACTGGGAGTCATAATGCTGGCCCTCAGGCCCCATCTGATCCTGTCCCAGACCTGCAGTCACTAACGATGGCTGAAACCACCGGCCTCTGATACTAGGTAAGTTTTCACCTATACAGTCCTGCACTTAGATCCCCAGTTTTGCTTCCATGAGGGTGGAGCCTGGTCACTTTGGTGGAAGGCATGGGACATTGTCCAACCACAGGCAAAATGGTGAGTGCTGATCCTGCAGGTGCCCCCATACTCATGATAGTGATTAGACAATAGGTTATTTACTGAAGCAAATTTTCTGTATTGATCAAATGGATCTTTTTTTTTTCAAACAGCATGCCTTCTTGACATATATTTCAAAAGATGGGAAGTAATTTTGCTCTAGGCTTCAAAGTATTGGCAGATAGTCTTATGCTCTTTGGGGGATGCTGATGTGAAACTGAAGCTTGTGATTTAGTAGCACTCTCAAATCCCAAGAGCATCAGAAAGGGTCAAGATGACAGCGTTCCCACGCATTTGGCACTTGGAAAAAACAAGAAAGCTTGGGTGGAAGTTTCCAGAGTAATTTTGAGGTCCACCAACAGCACCGTAAAGGTCATTAGCTTTGGGAAGTTGTCTTTTTTGAGGATAATGACAAATTTTCAACCAACAGCAAAAAGCCACTTTAACCACCACTACCATTCAACATATAAAAGTTTATAGTGAGAGTTATGTTTTAAAAAACATGAAACCTTAAAAATTAACATTGCTTCAGGAATTTTTCATTTTACTTGTGTAGCAACAGAGTTTACAGTTATCCACAGTAATTTCAAACACTGTTAGTGACATTACTAACTTGATTCCTGAGTTTACTTTTACATCTATAGAAACATTGCAGTTCTTGATGACTGATGATGGGAATTGATGGGCTCACTCTGTCTGTGAGCAAACATTTTGAAACCGATTATGTTCATATAGTGCAGAATGAGTATATTTCATTGTGTTCTAAATTCTTTAGAAATTAGCACACTGTATAATGCATATCGTTCGGGATACACATGGCATATGGCAGAGGCCAGCCACCTAAAAAATATGGGACAATTTTTATTGGCACTTTGGGTAGTTGCCACATATGTTTCTCCATCATATCATTGGAGAAATTATTTCACTAGAAAGTAAGCTTCATGAGAACAGGGGTCTTTGTCTATTTTTTCACTGCTTTATCCCCAGCCCCTAGATAGGGGTGGGGAAGCTTTTTTCTGCCAAGGGCCGTTTGGATATTTATAACATCATTCGAGGGCCACCTAAAATTATCAACTTAAAAATTAGCTATGAGAAAAGTTCCTAGATTTATTGCATTTCGAGTCCTGCCTATGGTTGCCTTGGCAGACTAAATGATTTTGCGGGCTGTATACTACCGGAGGGCTGGAACTTCCCCACCCCTATCCTAGAGCAATGCCTGGCACATTGAAGGTGCTCCAAAGATATTAGTTAAGTGAAGGAATGCCCTTCTAGAAAATCCATACCAGATCCTTGTTCCCTGCAGAACTCGCAGCGGATCCTCTACGGCTCCCTCTAGTAATCCAGCAGGAAAGGAGCTGAACCACCTCTTTTAGAAGCTGCTCACCTCTTGGTAGGAGGTCTGTTAAAAAGCATATGTCATGTGGGACAACCCTATACTAACCTTTCTGGAACAAGTCAGGGAATACATAAACACAGTTTGACCAAAATATTAGACTAATCAGAACACTCCACTTTCATATCATTCCACATAAAGAGAGAATGTTGGCAACAACAGTTAGTATTTTTTTAAGTGCTTTCTCTGTCCCAAGCACTAGTGTTTTACATGCAGTATTTTACTTAATCCTTATAGCAAACCTCTGAAATAGGTGCTCATGATTCATATTTTTTTTAGGTAAGGCAAAGCAAGCTCTGAGAGGGTATGCAACATGCCCAATATCATACTGCGATTAGATATGCACTCAGACCTCCCTAGCTCAAGTTTGGGCTCTTAAATGCTGTGCCCTGCTGCCCACCTCTGTCTGTGATGTTTTTGGATGCTTATTATTGGAATTTTGAATTATGAACCTTGAAAAGAAGCCCCTCGAACAAAGGTTCAACTCCATGCATGTACAGGAGTTAGAAGCCTTACCTCATCTTTCATTCCCTTGGCACTTCTCAATTCTCCTTTAAGCTTTAGCATTTTCTGAGCTTTGTTATAAACCTGGAAAAGTATAAAAATTTAAGATGGAAAAAGTATAAATGAGTCCAGCTCTTTAAAAATTTTCCCATCTGGATGTGTGCTCTCAGCAGGGAGTTCAGAAAAATTTCCCAAACTGTTAGCAATACTTACTTGCCTACCCATCTGTTTGTGTTTCCAAAAGTGTTAAAACTTTCACCAGGAAGACGACCGTGGTTTTACAACTTTTCCAAAAAAACCACCGCTAAATAGTTTCTAAGTTTATCCTTCTCGGAAAGTGAAAGGTCTGAAATGATCTTACTTTCTAGATTTCTAAGTATTCTATGGCTCAAACATAGTTAACATTATGTACTAATTATAATCAGACAGAATATACACAGTCCAGCTTTATTCTCATGACAACCCTGGGAGGCAGATACTATTACTATCTCTATTTTACAGAGAAGGAAAATGAAGACCAGAGAGGCTAAGTGACTTACCCAAGGTCACACAGGCTCCCTCACTGCTCCACGAGGAGCTTCCACTAATTTATAACTATTCATTTGGAAATATCTGATGATGTGATTTAAGCACCAAGTTATGTTGGCACTTGTAAAGTTAGGACACGTAAAGTGCTGGGAATATCCAGGTAAAAAGCCTCAAAGAAAGCCAAAGGTTTTTGCACGTGTAGATGTGTAAGTACAGAATGATGCATTTGAGGTCATAATGCATTGGGCTTAATAAAATAATCTAATTCATTATGTTTTCAACGCTAAGACTAAAAAAATTTCCACCAGGCACTTACCTGCAGAATAGTTCCAAGAATGAGAAGCTATCAAAATGCTCATTCTCTGTAATGAACCACACCCCCCACCCCTACATAAGCCAAGAGGAAGAAGGAATGCTGGGGCCGTGGAACCGGGACTGTTTATGGGGTTGTGTTCTGACGGGCTGCACTGTCCACCCTGTGAAGTCTCCGTGCACAGAGGCGCATCACGGGGCGGCGAGTGCTCAGGCTTACCCGGCAGGGAGAGGCGAGCGATGCTGCAGCAACAAGCCCCAAATCTCAGTGGCTTAAAACCGTGAAGGGTTAGTTTTCACTCGTGCTACATGTCCTTTATGAGTCAGCTGGGGGCCCTGTTCTTCATTGTCCTCAGCTGGTAGAATCTTTATCATTTAGTATGTTGCCTGTTGCCATGGCAGCAGAAAGGGAACTTGGTGAATCACACACGGGTTCTTAAAGTGGAAGTGACATTTCACTTCCGCTCCCATTTCATTGGCCAAAACAAGTCACACGGCCGTGCCTAACTTCATCCTTTATTCCCCAAAGGAAATACTGGTGAGCATCACCAGTGACTTCCACTCGAGGTGACTGAGGTGGTTGGGCTGCTGTAACGATATCACAGGCTGGGTAGCTTATACGCAACAGACGTCTCTTTCTCATAGTTCTGGAAGGTGAGAGGTCCAAGATCCAGCCCCTGGCAGAACTGGTGTCTGGTGAAGCCCTTAGATGGTTGGAGCGTCATCCGGTGCACCAGAAGGTTGCAGGTTCAATCCCTGGTTGGGGCTCGTGCAGGAGGCAAGTGATCAATGTTTCTTTCTTTCTCTCTTTCCCCCACTTCCTCTCTCTCTCAAATCAGTGAAAATGTATCTTCAGTTGAGGATTAAAAAAAAGAAAAAAAAGAATTGGTGTCTGGTGAAGACCCACTTCCATATTGGCTGGGTTTTTTTTCATGCGTAACTTCACATGGTGGTAGGGACAAGGGAGCTCTGCGAGGTCTGTTTTATAAGGGCACTAATCTCACTCATGAGGGATCCACCCTCATGACCTAATCACTTTCCAAAGGTCTCATCCCCTAATTCTATCAACTTGGGGGTTAAGATTTCAACACATAAATTTTGGGGGGACACAAAGGTGTGATCCACAGCACTAGGCAAATGAGATTAAAAATAGTGTGGCATATAAGAACACTAAACAGGGCTGTAGGCTACCAACCTGGTTTAGCACCTAATTCAAAAAGTAGCTTTTGGAAAGGTACTGATCTCTCTGAGCCTTTGTCTCTGCCTCTGCAAACTAGAGGACTTGTACCAAATGACCGTTAATTCTTTCCTAGCTCTAAGGTTTACTGATTCAATGTTTTACCTTGACAGACATCTTTCTTACTAAAGAACCATGAATTCAGCCCAAGCATAACATAAAATATAAATAAAACAAATATGTCTTTGAGAATAATATTCTTCTACAGGCAGACATATAGGATAGTTAGGAGATGCTTCTTAGATCAAATGCAATCTTGTCCCAAAGACAGAAAATGATAGTCCAGATTGTGACTGTTTCATCTACTATGGAGTTACACAGCTGTAGTCGCAAGGGCCAAGGGCATTTGGAAGGAAAAGTGGAAGGCACAGGCTCTCATATTTGCATGGAAATATATTGGGCTTCACTAAGTAAAATAAATCAGAGGAAAAAGAGAGAGCTGAATGAATTGTGTTCCATGAAAGAGACATGGGAATCCTGTGAGTCATTAACAACAGCAGTGGGCAATTTGGAAGTGCTTACAATGAAAAAAATGGAAGGGTTATATGATAAATTTTCGAAGCAATTGACAGTAATGTTTGCCAGATGGATAGGGAAGAGTGCTTTGAGGGAGCCTCAAATGCTTTATAGAATGATCACGTGAACCTTCACAGCGCTCTCTGAGGAGTGTGGCTGGAAAAATATTTTGTAGAGGAGAGGACTCATCACAGAGGGAGGGGCTCCCTACCTGATCTGTGGATATTGATCTCTGGGCCCAGGACTTGAATGTCTTTTCTCTCCTCAAACCCTTATTCTGTGTCTTCTGTGCTGCTGTCTCCTGCATCTTTGTTGAGACCTTAACTTCCTCATGCCTCTTCTCCATCAGCATCTCCAATTCTGCTGCATCTGCCCACAGAACTGCTTTCTTGTATTCAAAAGTTCTGCTGTCTGCTTTATCAGTAGGTCTTCCCTTGGTGACAGCTGTGTCCAGAAAAAAATTATGGTGAAAACAAAATCTTGGTCAGAGCATCTAGCAATATTTTGCGCCTCCTGAGTTGACCTCAGTCCACTCTCAAAGCACCTTACAGATTCCCAAGAAACACTAACACTGCACCTCATACAGGTGACTGGTGTAGCAGGTATGAACTCAGGTGTGCCAAGAAAAAGTTACAATTTTTCTATTAATCTTTATTGAGCCCCATTTCCACCAAATGGCAGAAAATAGAATATTAGTTATTTCTCAGAAAGCACCATCATTTTTAGGTTAAAAATGAATCAGTTCATGATCCCCTTCACCTCTTTAAGGTTTTCCAGAGTGTAAGTTCTGGGATCCTAGGTTGGATACTGGCATTAGGGGTGACTTCCGATCCATGGTCATGGGCACCTCTCTCAGTTGAAGTGTGCTAAGATGTCTGTGTCTTGGTCAAAAGACCACAAATACTGCACCTTCCTCACACTGTGGGCTTTGGGTCTGCAGGCCTTCTTTGGTCCTCCAAGGATGATCCTAATGCAGAGAGATGGACACACACACCTGTGAAACTGGTCTCAGGCCCTCTCTTCTTAGACCTTCCCTACTATCATTCTGTGTTTTGCCTAAAAAGGTGTTGAGAAGAAGGGGATAGAATCCTAAGATCTTGCTCATTTTTTTGCTCCCCACTCCTGGCATTGATCAAAAGTCCCTTCTGCCTCTAAATTGCTAAACCTATCTGAGGTTCTTTTGTGTTCCCTACTTTCACCCACGTCTTCGATCTCAGGATCTAATTCTCTTGCTTATGCTCAAATTATCCTCTGCTGCTTCTTTCTAAACTCAGAGAGTCTTTGTTTAGTTTTGGGGAGAAGAAGCAAAAAGGGCACAAGTGAGCAAGTTCAATGAAATGCAGGTTGAGCGTGCAGGATGGGAAACACATGTTAGTACTTCATGCACCATCAGCCTACACTAGATTATACAAAGGCCATACTCACAGATTGCTGACGCTGGCTCTCACCAAGGACCTGGCTATGCCTGGGTATACAGATGGACGACTGCTGGTCTTAGAGCAACACCGTCTATTCCTTTTCCTTTACGACCTGGATGGAAGAATATCAAGCATCTATTTTTCTCATCTAAAACATTTTTCTAGGTTTTCATGGAAAGAGACGCCATTCAAAGTCAAAGCTACCCTTGGGGGTTAATCAAAATTAACAAACAGGTTTATCTACACTCAGTCCTAACTCTTTCCTTTACTTTTACTGAGTTTTAGCTTTTTCTCCATTGTTCTGCCTCCTTCCAATGAAAAAGTATGATGAATTCTAGGTTTCTTAATTATTGAAATGATGAAAAGATGTTCAATGTCTCCCCTGTTAAAAAAATGTGAGCACCGTGAATGAACAGGGATGCTTCTTCCTCAGTAAATTATTTCTGCCCAGACTGCATAGACGGAGCCATAGTGTACAGAGGCCTTGCATGAAGAGTCTATTTCTTTGAATCCAAACCCAGTTGTACAAGAGAAAAATCCCTGATCATATAGGGACTGTCTATGGGGGCAGATGGTAGGAGGAGATGATGCTGGAGATAGTGTTTCCAGGGTCTGGGGATTCTGCACCATAATTTAGTGAACAGGAACCAGACACCAAGATCACTGACTGGGTAATATAGTCCAACCCCAGGACTGAGGCTCTTCTGGAGAGGAAGCAGGGCGAGATGGGTCTTTGCAGGAGCTTTGCAATGGCAGAAAAATGGGGGTCCAGGAGGAACAAGAGAAGGAGTTCCAGGACTTATCAGACTCACTGTCACAGGTGAAAATCTCTCTCCATGGCTATCTCCTTTGGTACCTTTTACAGAGGCTTTCAGTTGCCTATTTCAATATCCATACTTTTAACTTTCCTTAGAAAGAGAATCCTAATTTTATTGGGGTGTATATGCACTAATTGAAAAGACTACCGATCCCAGCCTTTCTTGTACCTAGGTAGGGTTACTTTGTAAGTTTCGGCCAATGAGATGCAGGAGGAAATATTGTGGGAACTTCTAGGAAATCTTCTTAAAGAGAAGCAGTGCACAGTTCTTTGTTCCTTCCTCCCTCCTGATTATTTGGAATGCTGCTGTAATGGCTGGTGCTCCAGCAACCATTTGGAACACGAGGAGATGCTCAAAGAGACAGAAAGAGCCTACCTAGGTCCCTGACAGAGTAATTTATGTCACAAGTCACTGTTATTTTGGATTTTTTTCTGTTTCATGCAGCCATATCTCATGCAAATGAACAAAGTACCCTTATTTATGTTCCTCTCAGACAGACCTCCCTACAACTCACACCTCATTTCTAGACCTCCACCAGCTGCTTCTATACATTTTGGAACTCCCGTTTCATTGTGGACCAACTCTTTTACTCCACAGACATTTTTCTCAAATGCTCCTTCCCTTCCTCGACTTGAATTGGTTTTCTCTTGTCACATCAGCTCTTTCACTTTCTCTCTCTTCACTTGATGCAGGAGGAGCAAGTGTGGGGAAGAGAGTGACACTCTCAGTCTTTCTACTGTTACCACTAGCTTTCCCGTCATTCAGTAAAATTTCCTCTTCTGAAGTACGCACTCCATCTAACCATTATGATCAACTGACATGGTGAAAACTCTCCCTCCTGACTGCTCACTCTCTTCCTTTCTTCCTCCCCCCTCCCTTTCTTCCTTCTTTCCTTCCTTCCCTCTCTTTCTTTCCTTTCTAATGAGATATCTGTTTTCTGCCTGCTCAAAAATCACACACCTTCAAGATCCAACTCAATGGCCAGTTTCCCCATGTTAGTATCTTACATAAAGTCAATGTCCTATTACTGATGATACTGCCCTTGGCCACTTGGTTATGCCGGTGCCCACTGAGTTTATTCTCTATACAGTTACTATTTTTCCCATTCTATTAACAAAAAATTTCATAGACTATGCTCCTTGAGTTGCCCTTGGCTGCCTTCTTCCTTGTACTATGCAAGAAGACTCTTGTTTTGATAAAGGATCTTCCAAATTCCTGTCCCTTTTCTGTCAGCCTCCTCCACCTTCTCCCAGGTTCCAAAGGGTTCAGTGAATGAGCCAAGGCATTTTGGAGGTGATATGACCAACTGGCATTTGCCTCGGTGCCTGCTCTCCAGCAGGAGAAGGGTTAAATACTTTGGGAAAACTTCAGCACTGAACTGCCAAGTCTCTTAGGTTCAGCTCAGCAATCAAACCGCATAACCTAATAGAGCCCCTGGTGCTACGGGAAACACAAGACACTGATTTATATTTTAATATCAGTAATTTCCACAAGAGCAACATTTCTGAGTGTCATTTTACAATTTCTGTCAAATGCCAGCTCAGTTTTTCTTAATTCTGTTTACTGTGCCTGAATTTGCAACCTCACCCGCAATGCAGATTCTTGGCTCCCAGGGGAGAAGCACGTTTTCATCTTTGCTGGAATGGGAGGGATGGGCTGGGGCAGAAATGGGCCTAGAAAATAACTGGAAATGTAAACAAAGTACTGGTTATTAAGAATGGTTATGAAGCACTTTTGGTTAAAAAAGGCAGGGGCAGTACAAATAAACGTTGTAAAAAATGACAAACAAAAGGGGTGGCTGGGATGCAAATGGAACCTTTCCTTCCGGAATGGAGAGCTGCATGTACCCTGCAGAGAACGAGTATGGGGACTGTCTGGCCACGTTTACTGTAAGATCGCTGCCACGGCCATTAGCACTGCAGCAGGTTGTAAAGTGCTCTGGCATCCTTAAGGATCAAAGGTGCGCGTCTGCATGAATGCCAGATGTTGCCATTAGGAAGCGGGAGCCTGGTTCTCTCCTGTATTCTTTGAACATCTAATAAAAGTAAGAACAAAGCTGGTGCTGTTGGCACCAAACCACATCTACTCAGTGTGCTTAGGGGTGGGAGTGCCTCCTGAGGCCGCCGGCTGCAGATGCGTGCTCTCGCACGGCCAGTGTTGTCCACTAGTTCCCTGAGGGCCTGCAGCTCTAGTTTCTGCATTGGTCCTCTCGATAGTCATAAGCCACTTCCTGTAATAGCTCCACGCAATGCTCTTCTTTAAGGCCTGAAATTTAGCTCTGGCTAGAGGATCTCTCCTGTGGTTGGTACAGAAAGCCAGCCAAGAGTCAGAAGCAGGGCCCGTACAGCCCCTTAATGCTTCTTGCATGATCACTCAGGGCCTCTCTCAAATGGGAGCGTCGTTAGTCTCCATAATCCTTCCCTCCACAGCCGCAGCCCTGGTGGGTTAGAGCGAGCCCAAAAGCCATGTGCTCTGCTTCCGACTGGCGTGAAGGCCTCATGCTTTTCACCAGCATCCTTCAGTTTCACATACTCGAAATCCAACATCGTGTCTCATTGCCAAACCTCTGGCAGAAGCCGTGTTGAGTTTCTCAGTGGAGCTATCGACCACATTGACTGAAGCTGCGGTAACGTGTTTCTCCCCATCCAAAAGGGTAAAAATAACAGGAACAAGTTGTCGGAAATGAAATTTCAATTCATCCACGCCCTTTCTACACTTCTGCTGTGACTCCCAAGCAGGGATCAATAGTGTTTAGACAGCCAAGGAGATTTTTTTCCCCCCTTAAAGCACCAGATCAATAGTAAAAAAAAAAAAAAAAAA